ATCTGTGTATGGATGTGTGAGAATGGGTGAATGTGACATGTAGTGTAGAGTGGTCAAAAGGCATGAATGATATGATAGTGATATGTATGGACTTGCGTTGTCTTTATTATACAATCAAATTGTGGGTTTGAGAGCAACGTGTATGGTGCTGTGTTAATGCCATGCTGCTCTGCACTATCCAGATAACAATATATACTGTATTTCCCAAAGAGGCAGAAATGTGAATGGGAGAATGGGGCATGTAGTGTAACAGCGCTTTGAGTGGTTAGAAGACTAGAGAGGTACAATCTATTTACCATTTACCATTGTGTCCACAAAACAACCAGTATGGTTAGAATATATTGATGTCCACTCCCACTCAACAGACAACATTCAAATAGATTTTCTGTGGCACAGCAACCCTCAACTCAACCGCTCCAGGTTGTTGCCCAGCAAATCATTGCAATGTTCAGTACTGCAGCTGCTCTTTGATCTTTCCCTGCTAAAGCCCTCTGAACCTAAAGAGGCCATTTTCTTTAGGCTATAATAATATAAGTCCACTGAATTTTCATTAAAAGGTGAGTAGAATGTGTGCCTGATTAATATCAGAACTAGAATCAGTTTTATTTCATTGCTTTAAGTTTCTTCACTTTAATTTGGGCCACATCCTTTTCATGGGCCCATTCCAGGGTTTTGTCAGAATCAGAAGTCATTATTAAGGTTACAGTTGCATATACATTAACACGGGCATGAACTGATCTCTAATAAACAACACGCAGTAGCGCCAGCATGGCATGTTCACCTAAAACACTTATTACTAGTGTCCTAGTTCTAATGCTATTAATTGTCTGCCATACTCATTGTCTGAATGGCTCATCCACTCACTTTCATGGCCTCTATCCAAGACTCGCAGAATGGCTCATATTATGTAATGATCATGATGGGAACTGTTGGGTCTCATAAGGAGTATGGTCAGACCTGCTGTATTTGAAAAGTGTGCTGAGATAAATTTTGTTATGGTATGCCGGTGTATAGCGGCATATCATAACAAAATATATATGAAAATTGAAATTGAAAAAAAAGATAAAAAGACAGACAGACAGACTATGGTAGTAAAGCTGCATTAATTGTGTGTTCACTGAATGAATCCTGAAGTTGTGCATGTGTTTTGCTTACATAAATGTATGTATTTGCTCGTACATTTACTATCACTGAATTAGATGATTCATCTGGAAAATGTAAGAAGTTGAATATCGACAAACCTTGGCTTTGAAGGCCATGAGTTTAAGGATCATCTCCACAGTGAAGAGCACAGTGAAAATCACGTTCAGCATATCAGACAGGTGAGTGACGTGGTCTGACTGGTTACAGTGCTGTGGGTTAAAGAGGCACAGATTGACAGTTGCATAAATATAAAGTCAGACAATGATTGTACAGTATGTATGCAGTCTGGCAAAAGGTTCTGCAGCATCTGGCTCAGGAGCACAAGAAAGAAATTTGGAATTCAAGTAGCAGGGTCTTTGTTGCCTCTCAACAGTCTGCAGCTTGCATGAGTATTAAGTTAAGCACATCATTTATATAATCAGCTCTAATTGGTCAGGAATTTCACAACACTTTTATTACATTTAGCAGGCTACATCATTAATATATACAAAGATGGACGACATGACAGCTCTCCAACAGTCAATCCAAAACATCTTGATTTCCCTCTGGTGGCTGACTGCATACAGGTCATGAAGTTGTCAAATTAATTTCTCCCAAAAATGTTTCAGTCTTATCACTCTGATGTATGTTCAAGTTTTCATTTTTCTGATAAGTTTGATTTTAATTACTTATTTGTAGCTATAAAAAAGGGGGTTTCATGTCATGATTGTCAGCTGAGCCCTGCATTCGATTGAGTCTGCCAAGAATATGGGCGGTCTGTATCTGGAATATTCTGGCTTCTTTTTGTACAGTGGGAGGAATATGGAGCTGTTATTGAAGCAAAACTATTTACAAATGTGAGTGGAGAGTTGTGTAATTGTATCTCAATCTGTGTGTGTGTAATCAGACTTGTAAATGTGTAAAATAATATGTAAATATGTACTGAGATCTGTTAATGTATACAGGAATCTGCAAATGTGTGTTCAGACTGTGTGTGCATAATCAGATTTGCAAATGTATTTAAATTTGTAAATTTCATGTTCATCATCATCAGTCACTACTATTAGTGTAGTTGTTGCTACTGTTGTTGCTGTGCACCTGTCTGTCTGCCTGCCTGCCTGCCTGTCTCCGTCTCTCTCTCTCTCTCTCTCTCTCTCTCACCCCAACTGGTCGAGGCAGACGACCACCCACCTAGAGCTGAAGGGTCTGTCCTAGGTTTCTGCCTCTTAACAGGCAGTTTTTCCTTGCCCCCGTCGCAAGTGCTTGCTCATGGTGGTACTGTTGGATCTCTGTAAATGTTATAAGGAGTCCGGTCTAGACCTGCTCCATTTGAAAAGTGTCCTGAGATAACTTCAGTTATGAATTGGCGCTATACAAATAAAATTTAATTGAATTGAATTAAATATGTAACCAAATCTGTAAATATGGAGACAAATCTGTAAATGTTTATATAGATCTGTAAATGTTTGGACAAATCTGTAAAAGCAAACATACATATTAATGGCCGAGAAGTATTTGCTCCAAGAGCTAGAAATACAGACATTGGCTCCTTTTACACAGGAATTTTGCTACATTTTTGCCGTGGCAGATCTGCAAATGAGTGTGGAGATTTGTGTGTGTGCCTCAGTAACTACACCCCCTTTTGTTTGATGAAAGAGACACTAGGGGTTAAGGCGGGGGGACAGGAGAGGCGTGAAGCGGAGATGAGGGAGATGGAGGTATTTCCAGCTCTTGGAGCAAATACTTATCCGCTATTGATATCTATGTCTGCATTTACAGATTTGTCCACACATTTTCAGATCTATATCTGGTACAAATAATAAAGTACATACATAACTTACTGATATGATATTTATATATTGATTTAGCTTACTACAATGTACTACATTGACAAGTGGCTAATGCCAGCCACAAAGCTACGACTAACCATGACGATGGAATTTTTAATGGTTGGCTGGCCACTTTCTGACTTTACGTCCAAACTAGTTCTGCCCCAAGCAATCATGGTGTAATTGTGAAGCAACTGATTTTAACAGCTGATTTACTTACAAACTAACTAGCAGTTACTGAGCCTCTAGTGTCGACTTTATACCCTAACTTAGGGGAGAACTTATACATAGCTGCTGCAACGCAGTCCAGATCTGGGCGGCTGTGTCTCAGAGGCAGTGCGGGTCGTTCCTTAATCGGAAGGTTGTGGGTTCAATCCCCGGCTCCTGGTGCCACATGTCGAAGTATCCTTGAGCAAGATACTGAACCCCAAATTGCTCCTGATGCCGTGCATCGGTGTGTGAATGTGTATGAATGTTAGTTTCTGTTCCATGGACTTTGCCATCACTGTGTGAATGTGTGTGAAAGGTGTGGCACGTAGTGTAAAAGCGCTTTGAGTGGTCGGAAGACTAGAAAGGCGCTATACAAGTACAGGTCCATTTACCATCTTCTATACTGTAAAGTGACATTAGTGTGAGGGCATAAAAAAAACACCAGTTTTGAATTCTTCAGTTTTCTACACACACCCTATCACAAACATTTAAAAGATGCTACGATGACATAAAAGTCTGCAGCTATTACAGGAGTTACATCTGGGCTTAAAACAGATCACTGTATACATCATCTAAGGAGAAATTAAATTTTATAAGTAATTTTCAGTGTCAGTGATTAAAAAGGGACAGAGTAGCCTGAAACCTCTACTTAAATCCTATCTGCTCTATCAGTTACATACTGAATATTTTGAGACAATTTTTGTTCCTCAGACACACAGATGAATAGATAGATGTGTGTGTATGTATGTAAGATGTTGTATTCATACCTGCATTCCCAGACACATGGTGTTGAGCATAATAAGGAGGAACATAAGGTACTCAAAGTAGCAGGAGGTGACGATGTACCACACTTGATACTGGTAGGGGTTCTTGGGAATATAACATCGCAGTGGACGGGCCTTAAGAGCATACTGCACACACTGGCGCTGGAGGGGTACACAAGAAGGAAACAAAGTAAACATGATTAATAAGAATTTCCTTTTTGGATGGTAGCAACAACAGACAGCTGTTAAATTTGGTTATTAAAGATATGTAATGAGACAGGACTTCAGTAAGAATAAAGCAAAGCATGCATACATACAGCACATACAAACAGCGGCTATATTAATTTACAGGTACTGTATATCTACACAAACACATATACATAGACAGAAACAAGGCTATATTATAACAACAAATAAAACAAATCAGTCAGAAATTTAGAAATTTTCTGCTGCATCGCATTGCCTCTGGTACAATGAGGTATTTATGATTTATTTATTTATGAACAGATTTTTACACAGTTCTATGTAGTAACATGTTCTGTTCAATTGTATTTTATTTGTATTGCCCTCATGACCAAATTTATTTTAGGACACTTTTCAAATAGAGCAGGTTTAGACTGTACTCCTACTAAAATTATTTACAGAGACCCAACAGTTCCCACCATGAGCAAGCACTTGGCGACACACAGACATTTGCACTAAGAGGCAGAAACTGCGAGCAGACCTTAGCCACGTAGGCTTGTTACGCAGCTGTTTTGATAACTAACTTACGATTACAAGCAAAGCTTTTATTGCACTTGCTTGATACAAGTGGGACAACCCCCCATTTGCATCAAGCAGCACAGAGCAGACTGTACTGGCAAACTGTCAGATACAGAAACTACATAGTGAATCCGGTCACTTTTCATGATAGAAACTGGATCATATTTACCAATAGATCAATAACATTATTTTACAGAGACTTGAGCATCAAATTGGCATTAAAAGGAACCACCCTTAGCTGGTTTAAGTCATACTTATCAGATCGTTCTCAGTTTGTACATGTTAACGAATGTTCCATAAATACTACAGTTAGTCATAAGATAAGATATTCCTTTATTAATCCCCTTTAGGAGAAATTCAGGTTGACACAGCAGCAATAGGGCAAAGTAGTGCAAAACAGAGAACAAAGAATATCACAAATAAAAATATTACAAAATACTAAATATAATAGAAGATATAAAACTATAAATGAAAGTATATACACATTGTTCAAGTAGGACATGGAGTGCAAAATATGAGCAGAAAATTAAACTTGACTAAAACTAAAAATCTAAAAACTAAACTGTACAAGTCAAAATTAAATATAAATAGTGCAAAAGATTTGTGCGTTGTAGTTTTAAACCAGTCTTTGTCTGCGGGGGTTGGAGGTACTGGGTGCTGTGGCGTTGTGGAGTCTGATGGCATATGGAACAAACAAGCCTCCAAACCGCTTTGAGGCTCGGAGCTGGGTCAGTCTGTAGCTGAAAGTGTTCCTGAGCTGCCTCAGCTCAGTCTAGAGAGCTGAGGCTCCATGATGGCTTTCAGCTGTCCTCTCATCCTCTTCTCACTCACAGCCTCCACACTGTCCAGCTCCATCCCCACCACCGAGCTGGCCTTCCTCACCAGCTTGCTAAGCTAAGCCCTAACTCTAACTCCCAGTGCTGATGCCTCCACTCCAACAGACCACTGCAAAGAAGAGGACACTGGCCACTACAGACTGGTAGAACATCCGTAGTAGCTGAAGGCACACGTTGAATGACCTGAGCCTCTTCAGAAAGAACAGCCTGCTCTGTCCTTTCTAGTAGAGGGCCTGAATGTGGTCCGTCCAGTCCAGTTTTTTGTTGAGTGTCACCCCCAGGAACTTGTAGGCAGGGCCGGCCCAAGGCATAAGCGAACAAAGCAGCTGCTTAGGGCCCCGTGACCACTAGGAGGCCCCCAAGAGCAATTAACTTAAAAAAGAAAAAAGTAATTAATTATTTTTTTCCATGTGTAAGTGATGATGATTCATATATTATCAAATTTACATTCTTGTACAAAAAAACCCAACAACAATATGATGTTAACAGAGTGTAGTTTCCTACTGCCTCTCTGCTCGAACTGTCAGAGCTCCGCTAGTAACGTGTGCAGTGCTCCCAACCATGCAGTGCCGTGCGCACTGAGCATCCAGGAGCTAGGAGCAGGTGAAAGATGTCGCAAGAAAGGACTTAACAGTTAAGTTACCCTTCAGGGGCAGAAAGAGGAAAAGGAAGAAAGAGGAAGAAGAGAAAAAACGACAAGATAAAGGTATGTCTTGGTAATGTAACATTTGGTGTCAAGGAGATTTTGAAAAGTTCCCTGAAATTAGGAAAGTCCCTAATTATTGTTGATATTTATTTTATTTTGTTCCAAATACGTTAGCCTATAATAGCAAATTTGCTAGCTAACATTAGTTCAAAACATCTTACTACTTCTCTCTTATGGGTCGGTTAGATAGCTTACTATTCAAGCTAACGTTTTTGTGTTTGCGTAATACTTTGAATAAGTTGATTCTCAGTGTATATATATTATTCTGGGTCGCTTTTTGGCATCAAAACAACATTTTTGATAACAACGTTTAATAGCCAATGTTTAATAACTAACGTTAATTACAAACGCGGTGACATTTGTTAGCAATATGGTTTTGCATTAATGAATTCATTTAGTTAACTTATAGTTTGAGGTATGTTGTTTGCAATTGTTTGCTGCAGAGCACAGTAATTTATGTGAGTAAATAAACATATTCCTTTTACATCAACTCCCTATTGTGCTCATACGTTATATGAAACTTCCCCAGGAGCACTGTTAAAATATTTAGGAGGAGGCACTGACTCAGCCCAGGGGCAATCCACCTCCTCAGGAGCAGCCAAGGCTGATGAATCAGGTGATCAAAAACTGTAATTTCTAGTCAAATTATCTCATTAAGATATACTAATATAAGATATAATCATATGACAAGGGACATGTTTTTCATCTCAGGTCCATCTCTATCCTCTGCTCCATCCACTGTGCCCACTGTCCTCTCTGCAACCTCAGCTGTTCCTGGTAAGTTAACAACAAAACAGCCTTCAATTGCTCAGAGTACTGCGGAACATACTGAGATGAATATTTTTTCAATATAAGATATAATCATATGACAAGGGACATGATTTTAGACAAATCCATATCATTTCAAAACTTCTCAAGCAATTTTCAGTTGTTCCACTGGCAGTTTGTTTTCTTATTACAAGCTATAGCTGTACTTTTTTATTTAGAAAATAAGCTGCATCATTTTCAAGTGTAATATGACTATAACATGGCTAGCTTTTGTTTTTGTTGTTTTTCATTTCAGGTCCATTTCTATCCTCTGCTCCATCCACTGTGCCCACTGTCCTCTCTGCAACCTCAGCTGTACCTGGTAAGTTAACAGCAAAACAGCCTTTATAATTGCTCAATGTACTGCAGAATATTCTGAGATGAATAATTTTGTCCATAAATATTATTTTGATTTCCCTATAGGTCCTTCATCTTTGGTCATCGGGATTGATGTGTCTTCTTCTTGCATCAAGTTTGAAGCAGAGATCAGCAGCTCCGCCAGTTGACCCAGCTGAGTGTCCCTCTTTCCTGTCAGACTCAGAAAGGACTGAACAGGTATTAAGAGGGCCACTGCCTATAAAGGACACATTCACATTCCCAAAAAGACACATGGCAGTAATAGAGGGCCCCAAAATAAAATTTTGCTTAGGGCCCCATGGAGGCTTGGGCCGGCCCTGCTTGTAGGTGTCCAACTGGGGAAGGGGTCCTCCTGCTGCGCCGGAAGTCCACCACCAGCTCTTTGGTTTTTCCTGTGTTGAGCTGTAGGTGGTTTCTGTCGCACCATCCAATGAAGTTCTCAATCAGGTCTCTGTACTCCTCCCTATCATCTGTGATACAGCCAACAATGGAGGAGTCATCAGAGAACTTCTGCAGGTGGCACGCTCCAGAGTTGAAGCAGAAGTCAGAGGTGTAGAGGGTGAACAGGAATGGTGACAGTACAGTTCATGGGGTGTACCAGTGCCATCACCACGTCTGACAAGCAGCTGTGCAGTCGGACATACTGTGATCTGTCAGTGAGGTAGTCAGTGATCCAGGCCACGAGTTCCTGATCCACCTGCATCACAGAGAGCTTTTCTGCCAGCCAGAGAGGCTGGATGGTGTCGAAGGCACTGGAAAAGTCGAAGAACATGATCCTCATGGTGCTCTGTGAGTTCTCCAGGTGGGTGACTGCAGTGGGTCCAGGCAGTTGCGTACCAGGGGTCTGAGAGGTAGATGGAGAGAGCTGGTGGAGCTGGTATGTGGGGTGGAAAAATGGAGAGGATATGGGGAGTGGGAAAGGGGAGGGAGTGGAGGGGGGTTGAGGGCAGATGAGGGGGGTGGTGTTACTGTCGTCATGGGGGATACGGGCTGTGGAGGAGGAGGGTGGGGAAGCCAAGGTGTGAATGGAGGTACCTGAGGAGGTGGAGGGGGTTTGTGAGTCAAACCTGATGCAGAACAGGTTTAACTCGTTGGCACGTCCCTTTGTCCTACTGACCTTTTCATGCCAGTAATGTTCCTCATCCCCCCCACACCTCTCTTGTGCTGGTCTGTTGCAGCTTCCCCTCTATCTTGTTCTTGTAACAGTCTTTGGCCCTCCTCAACTCCCTCCTCAGCTCCTTCTGAATGTATTTCTTGGCATCCTCATCTCCTGTCATGAAAGCCATCTTCTTTCTGTTCAACAGGGCTTTGATGTCCCTGGTGATCCATGGATTGTTGTTGGAGGGAGCTGGTGGAGGTTTGTGGGGTGGAAAAATGGAGAGGATATGGGGAGTGGGAAAGGGGAGGGAGTGGAGGGGGGTTGAGGGCAGATGAGGGGGGTGGTGTTACTGTCGTCATGGGGGATACGGGCTGTGGAGGAGTAGGGTGGGGTAGCCAAGGTGTGAATGGAGGTACCTGAGGAGGTGGAGGGGGTTTGTGAGTCAAACCTGATGCAGAACAGGTTTAACTCGTTGGCACGTCCCTTTGTCCTACTGACCTTTTCATGCCAGTAATGTTCCTCATCCCCCCCACACCTCTCTTGTGCTGGTGTGTTGCAGCTTCCCCTCTATCTTGTTCTTGTAACAGTCTTTGGCCCTCCTCAACTCCCTCCTCAGCTCCTTCTGAATGTATTTCTTGGCATCCTCATCTCCTGTCATGAAAGCCATCTTCATTCTGTTCAACAGGGCTTTGATGTCCCTGGTGATCCATGGATTGTTGTTGGGGAAACAGCGAATCCTCTTTGTGGGGATAACGCTGTCCTCACAGAACCTGATGTAGTCCATGACACACTGGGTGAGACCCTCGATGTCATCCCCGTAGTCTTCCTGGAACAGTACCCAGTCGGTTGTCCTATAACACCCCACCAAGGCCTCCTCTGCCTCCACCGACCACTGCTGCACAGTCCTGGTGGTGATGGACTGTCTCCTCCTAACAGCAGGCCTGTATGTAGGATGGAGATGTATCAGGCAGTGGTCAGATTTACCGAGAGGGGGGAGGGCGGTGGCGCTGTATGCCTCCTTTACATTGGCATACAGCAGATCCAAGGTCTTTTTCCCTCTGGTGTTACAGGTGATGTACTGGGTAAAGTTGTCAGGGTCTTTGAAATTTTGGCATGGTTAAAATCTCTGTTTATTATGATGAATGCGCTGGGATGTCGTGTCTGCAGGTCTGCTACGGTGGAGTGGATGATTTTAGAGTTCACAAAGACAGCAAGCCCTCCTCCCGACTTTTTACCACTTTGTTTCTTCCTGTCAGCCTGAACTAGTGAAAAACCAGCTGGTTCCACTGAACAGTCTGGTTTAATGTCATTCAGCCATGTCTCCGTCAGACATAACATGCTGCACTCTCTATGATTCTGTACTTGGACCAATTCACTTTATACATGCTTAGGCAACATTATTAGGAATCACTGCATTAATTTTCGATCAAGCTTTCGATCAAGCCGGATGAAATGAATCAGTTATCTAAATTACAAACATGTCTTAAGGACATAAAAACCTAGATGAGCTGCAATTTTCTGATGTTAAACGAAATTCTTGTACTTGGCCCCAAAAACCTCAGAGACTCACTGTCTAAGATATAGTTACTAGCACCACTCAGGAATCTTGGAGTAATCTTTGATCAGGACATGTCATTTAATTCCGACATAAAGCAGACCTCCAGGACTGCCTTTTTTCATTTACGTAATATTACAAAAATTAGACTCATCCTGTCACAGACGGATGCAGAAAAACAAATCCATGCATTTGTTACTTCTAGGCTTGATTACTGCAATTCCTTATTATCAGGTTGCCCCAATAAGTCCATTAAGACACTCAAATTAATTCAGAACGCTGCAGCACGAGTATTGACAGGAACTAGGGAAAGAGATCATATCTCTCCTGTATTAGCGTCTCTGCACTGGCTCCCTGTAACATTTAGAATAGAAATATAAATCCTCCTCCTCACCTACAAAGCTCTTCATGGTCAGACCCCTTCATATCTTAAAGAGTTCATAGTAACTCTAAAAGTAGAACAGGAGCTAGAGCCTTCAGCTACCAAGCTCCTCTCCTGTGGAACCAGCTTCCAGTTTCGGTTCGGGAGGCAGACACCCTCTCCACATTTAAGAGTGTTGTTCCTCTTTGATAAAGCTTATAGTTAGGGCTGGCTCAGGTGAGTCCTGAACCATCCCTTAGTTATGCTGCTATAGGCCTAGACTATCAGGGGATTTTCCATGATGCACTGAGCTCCTCTCTTCCTCTCTTTCTCTTTCTGCACACATCCATGTTCCATTAATGCATGTTACTAACTTCACTTCTTCCCTGGAGTTCTTGTGCTTTCTCGTCTCGCAGGTTCTCATGGATCCTGGTGGAGCCTCCTGCCATGGCCCTGCGTGACTCTCATTGCTAATATCACTGATGTTAATAAGGACCGAGCCAGCCGATCGCAACGAAACTTCACATTTGATAAGAGTCCCACCCTGAACACGTCTATGTGATAATATTCAGTAATAGTGAGAGCGCCACCTAGTGGCAACAGGAAATATCACGTCTTATACTTTCATGTTCTACTCCTAGCAGGACGATCAGATCCAGCTGAAATTTACCTATAGAAT